CCCCCCCACCCCCGCTGCCCTTCCTCCTTCCCACTGCTGCTATCAGGCTTTTTGTGTTAAGCTCATCATCCATCACGCTCTCATCTGCCTCCATCACCCTGTTCTTCCTTCCCATGAAATGCAAAGCGTTGAAAACAGTTGTGTGGTATCGTAGAGTGATAGAACATCTTAGAACTATAGCCTTAATATCCACATTACTACACCCGTAAATTTGTTTAGTTCAAAGTGCATTGATTTCTTTTTATGAAATCGGATCCTGTATGTGAGGAATGCATGCTAGGTGAGACACGAGTCTGCGGTTGTAACTTAATTGTTCTGTTTGCAGAAGTCCGGCCCTCGTGAAGAACATTCAGACTAGCCTGGGCTATGGTCCAGCTCTCTCTGCTGCCTTCCAGGTAAAAATAAGAACTGACTTCATCATCCCAACTTTRAAAGACATTTTAAAAAAGTCTTTCTCTGCGTCTCCTACGCCCGGTCACATGAGCTCTGTTTTTGGGGGCTTGATGTTCTGCTTTGAGCAGAGTGACGGGCAGCCGAGAAAACGCCGACAGCTTTCTTCACATTTAATGCCTCGGGCTTTGCTTTTCAGGCTTCAATGGCAGAAAACAACATACCTCTATACACTACTGCTTCCATTGGAAGTCCCACACTCAACTCCCTGGCCAACGCCATCCGCGAGGAGATAAATGGAGCGATGGACCATGGAAACAGCAACGGGAGTGACAGCAGCCCGGGACGCTCGCCCCTGTCAGCTATGTGAGTGGTTTTCTTTCACCGCAAAATAGATTTTAAAGAAAAGAAAAGAAAGTTTGCTGCAGATGAAAAGAACATTTCATTGTCTGATGTGTGGCATTAGATCAGACAGAAATCTTGTCAGAGGAACAATAAACAAGACAGAGTGATGAAATTGGAGTGGTGTCGGGTCATGGTCAGTGCTGCAGGCCTCCCTGTAGGAAAGGAAACTCCACCTTCTCAAAGCCTCCAGAACCAGTCCAGCCAGGAAGAGAAGACAGGAGCCCCTGTGTTGTTTTAACAGCCAGTTTATGAACTCTGCTTTATGTGTCTGACTGGTTGTCAGAGCCCCACCATAATCAGCATTCCAGTTTGTTAAAATATTTAGAAAAACTCTGAACGCAGAGTGACAGAGCCTCTGGCTCCGACRCACTGCAACATGAGTCGCAACACATTCAGAAACGCCTCTGAGCCTCAGAAAGAACAACAACACAAAAGCATAATTAGTCTGGAGAACATCATCCAAGATTGTCTTGTAGGAAAGTTGCGGTGGGCCTGGAAACCACAGCTCCCCCGTTCACTTGTTGTAKAGGAGTGTCTGCTAAGTTGTTTGAAGCCTAAAATAATACCGCACACGCTGCATCGCTTCCAGATGTGGGGCCCGATGAGCAGCGCTGTTAGACTACAGGATGGCCTTCAGAAATGTATGCTTTGGGGTAAATTCTGCTTACAAAAAGAGAAAAGTGAGAGAGAAAGGTGTCGCACTCAGCTTCTGGCCAAATCGAGCGAAGTGCCATCTCTCATCCCTGTTCCACAGCTCTGAGCGAGGCTGTGGAACAGGAAGGGCAGAGACAGGATGGGTGTGCTGGCCTGAAGGCAGCCTGCTTCTCCCTCTGCTGCTATCTTTAGGCTGATCCAGCTAACACTTTCTGCTCCCTGATGATGTCWATAAGCTTTGTGCAAGAACAAAATGAGTTCAGTCTGTTTTCTTTTGCTTTTAAAGAACATCATCCCCGCATTAACAAAGTATATTTAAAGCCCGACGCTTAGAGATCATCTGATGCAACCAACGGTGCAACGCTCAGAAAATACGATGCTCAGATAGCACCATGTGTTTTCCACATGTGCCGGTGTGCTGCTGACAGAACACACRCTTTCCTCAGTATGAAAACCAGAGCACTTTCCTTAAACAACCAGATGAAAAAAAAAATCCAGAGAAGCCTAATTATCAGCAAAGTGTAAAATCAGCATGCTGTTCAATAGCATAATAATAACAATTTCATGTCTGCCCTGCAGCCACAGAGTCAGACCTCAGGCTACGGCACTTGTGGAGTTACTTTGATGTGAAAATGATGGAAAAGCTGACTTTACTTTTCCCCTCCTTTTTTCATAATTTACACCTAAATATGTCAGCTCATTTGCATATGAGTGCCTCCATCACAATAGCTACAAATTGCACAAGACATCCCAGTGTGGAGGAAAATCAAATGTGGGCTTTTGTGAGGAAGAAAGTGCCAGTTGTCCCTTGTTGTTGTAGTAAATGAGCCCGGTGCCTCTTCCTGACACCACTCTGCCTCCACCACAGCAGCCTGGCACCGCAGGTTAGAGCAGCCAGCCCCCTGCAGCTGCTCAGACMCCCCCACTACCTCCGCCAGGCCTGCTCTTCCTCGCTGCTTTATTCCTGCTCTGTTTCTGTAATGAGAAATTTGGCAGATCTCATCTCTTCAGTGTCTCTTTTGCCCAGGCTGTGAGTGGAGGAGGAGGAGGAGGAGGAGGAGGGCGGTTCATGTTTTTGCCTTGTTTACAAGTGACAGCGTTATTATTCTCATAAGGGCTCTGTTTCTTATCGCGGTGTTGTGCCGAGTGCGCCGCCGCCTCTCCTCTCGCGCCTCGGCTGCCAGCTCTTTTCTGCCTTTATTGACACTTGCTTGAAAATATGCATTAATTCTGGAGTTTAAAGCCTGCATGCCGGGTGTCTGGTTGCTGTGTTTGCTTGAAGTTGATTAATGATAGAAGCCGGCTCGGGGTCGTCCTCTGGAGACCCGCCTCGCAGGTTGTGCATGTTAACGAGCAGGAAGGGGAACACACAGTGCGCCGCTGATCCTCCGCCACCAGGAGGCTGACAACAGCAGAGTCCATGCGCTCCTCTCCTCATCTCACGTTGTTAATCTTCCTCATTTATCAATTCTAAGTGAATACCCTGTTGTCAGTTGCCATGAAAATAAAAAAAACAAAGCCCGCAGCTTTTTCAGGATTGGAATACCTCAAAAGAAAGCTGAAATTATCATCGGGACCAGCAAGGTTCGCTCTTACCATCTGAACCCAGCCAGACGTTTGTTTTTGTTCCTCTTCCTTTTTAAAACAGAACCAGCACACGTATCGCTCTGTGCCTCTGCCTCTCTCAAACCTTCGAACCCATCGTCAGAAAAGTTCAGGAACTAGTCAGGTCTTTATTTTATTTATTTATGTTTTTGTCTCCAGGCATCACATCAGCGTTAAGGAGGAACCACTGGACCCCGAGGACCACGACGGGCCCCTCTCTTTGGTCACGACGGCCAATCACAGTCCAGATTTTGACCACCACAGAGATTACGACGACGACCACGATGACATGCTGTAGGCCCCGCCCCCCTCCCAGCCTCAGAGGCTGAGCCAGTGTGGATCATCTGGGAGACAGGATTGTCCGCAGAAAGCACTGAACTGACGTCTCAGCCACTGATGACAGCTGTCAGATGTCTCCAAGCTGACTTTTTTTAGTGCCATTACAAAAGAACACACGAGAGAGAAAAGAAAGAAATAAAAAAGGCAGAAAACCCCCTCCTCCCCCCCCCAGACGAGGGGTCCTTTTTGGATTTCTTTTTACTTTTGATTCAAGTATCACTTAAAAAGTGAAAACAAACTGAGTGTGTTGGACGGCTGGGGTCGTGACGCGTTCAGGGTCAGACCCTCGCTGTGCAGCCGCCACAGACTGCCTTCAGCAGACTGCAGGAGGGGTCCTGAGCCCCCCCCACCCAACCCTCTGACACCATGAACTGAAGACGAGACTTTTCATTTACACCGTGTGTGTGTGTGTGTGTGTGTGTG